CGGTGGAGAGGGTTCTGGAGGTAGCAGCGGAAAGGGGGGTGATGGCTCTAAGGGGAGCGGGCAGTCATCATGTGCGATGGTGAAGCCAGTTGTGGAGCAGACTCCTCTCGTTGTGCTAGAGCCTGAGGCCGGGGAGGGCTTACAGGCTGTTGCAGCTGCTGTGAAGGCGAACCCGAGCGTCGTGCTGCTTGATAGCGGATGCTCCCACCATCTCATGGGAGATCGTTCTGCCTTTGTGGAGATGAGCAGCGGCGGCAGCATTAAGCAGGTTACCGGCTTCAACGGCGCCCTTCAGGAGGTGCAGGGGCGAGGCACGGTCGCTCTTCTTGGGGAGGGGGGCAGGCGTGTCTTGGTGCCGGACGTGCTGTACGTACCAGGAGTGCAGGCGAGTCTTCTCTCTGCTGGGCAGCTGCGTGATAGTGGTGTGCAGCTGCTGGATGCCGGGGATGTGACTTTGCTGCGGGCACCAGATGGATCGCTCCTTGGTCGTGCGGAGTTCAAGGGGCGTGTTCTCTGCACGAACTTCCAGCCGTGTTCGACGCAGCAGCAGGAAGGCGAAACGGTGGCACTTCGTACCTTGGCGACCGGCGTACGGTCTAAGGGGGACCTGTGGCATGCGCGTATGGCACACGTTGGTATTGATGCCATCGAGCGCACAGCGGCTCATGGGTCAGTGAAGGGCTTGGATTTGGAGAAGGGGGGCAAGTCAGGCATACCTTGTGTCTCCTGTGTTGGGGGAAAGATCACTCGTCATACCTTTCCTTCTGTGGGAGAGGAGGAGGATGAGTTGCTCGGGGTGGTGCATGCTGACCTGTGTGGCCCTTTCCGTGAAGCAGCTAAGGACGGCAGCCGCTACTTCTTGGTGCTGAAGGATCGCAAGACGCGATATGTCCGGGCCTACCCTTTGGCCCAGAAGAGTGATGCGCTGGCGGCGTTCCAGAAGTGGCTCCCGATGGCAGAGCGACAGTGCAAGACCACGGTGCAGGCGCTGCGCACTGATCGGGGTGGCGAGTTCCTGGGGCACGACTTCACGCTCTTCCTCGACGGTAAAGGCATCATCCATGACCTCACATGCCCGTACACGCCGGAGCAGAACGGGATGGCCGAGAGGGAGATGCGCAGCATTGTGGAGGCGGTGCGGACGATGTTGCTGCACATGGGTGTGCAGCATCACTGGTGGCACCTGGCGTTGGCTCAGGCCGTCTGGGTGCGCAACCGCGTGGAGCACGCCTCACTACCCTCTGGTGTGACGCTGTACGAGCTCGCCTTCCGACGCAAACCTGATGTCAGTATGGTGCGTGTTTGGGGCTGCATGCTGCAGTACATGGTACCACAGTCGCAGCGTGGGGGGAAGCTGGCGCCTAAGGCTCGCTGGGGGTTGCACTTGGGTGTGTCAGCTGCGAGCAAGGGCTGGGCCGTGCTGGACTTGGAGTCCAACCGCCTCATCACCACTGTGGAAGCTGTGTTCTATGAGACCATGTCCCTAGCAGGATGGAAGGCTTGGCATCAGCAGGAGCATGGGGGGCGTTCGATGCCCTATGAGCCCCTTCCCTCACTCTTCCCGATCACTCTCGAGGAGGCGGAGGAGGAGGAGGAGGTGGTCGCACCTCCTGCTATGCCCTATGTCCCTACCTCGGTCCCCACCCCACCTCCGCCTTCAGTCTACCCTCGTGTGATTCCCCCTGCCCCGCCTTTTTCCTCCTCACCCCCCTTGGCTTCCCCTCCTCCTCCTGTTATTCCATCTCCCCTTCCACCCTCCATCCCTCCTGCACCTGCTCCGCCCTCTTCTTCGTCTTCCACGGCGCCGCCCGTTGGTGAGGGGGGGATGGAGGTGCCACCGTCTGTGGAGATCACCGACGGGTAGCGCCTTGAGACTGAGCAGCTGCAGGACGAGAGCAGTATGGATGGAGTACAGCAGAGTGGGGGGCAGGAGACAGGGGAGCAGCAGACAGGGGAGCAGCAGATTGGGGAGCAGCAGACAGGGGAGCAGGAGATGTGGGGAATTAGAGATGGTGGTCGTGTGTTGGTTTCTGGGACGACCACTGCACCACTGCGTCGCTCCACTCGCATCACTCGTGGTGTCCCGCCTGTTCGATACGCTTGGGCTGTAGTGGTTGAGCCAGCGGGCTTGGATGACGAGGAGGAGGACGAGGAGTGGACTAACCTGGACCCGGACGTGGCAGCTGATCCTGAGAGGCAGTGGGACATAGCGAAAATGACAGTGAAGGAGGCCTTGGGCTGCTGGAAGGGAGACAAGGTGAAGGAGGCGATGGATGAGGAGATGCGGAGCTTGATTGAGCAGGGGACGTGGGAGTTGGTTCCGCGTCCGCCAGGGGTGAATGTGATGAAGAACCGCTGGATTTTGAACACCAAGTTCCGACCTGATGGGATAGTGGAGCGTGAGAAGGCGAGGCTGGTGGTGAAGGGGTTCACGCAGGTGGCAGGGGTGGACTATGAGGAGACGTACGCCCCTGTGGGAAGCTATGTGACGGCGCGTGTGCTTCTGGCGATTGCAGCTGCACTTGATTTGGACCTGATGCAGCTCGATGTGAAGAACGCGTTCCTCCATGGCGTGCTGGACCGAGACCTTTACATGGAGCAGCCGAGCTACTACGAGGATGGGACTCCTCGTGTCTGTAAGTTGGTGAAGAGTCTGTATGGGCTCAAGCAGAGCCCGATGCTATGGTATGAGGCCTTGGATGGGGTGCTGCTTGGGGCTGGATGGAAGAAGAGCAAGGTGGATGAGGCTCTGTACTTCAAGACTGATGCTGAGGGGGAGATGTGCTGGCTGCTGGTGTATGTGGATGGCCTGCTTGCTGCCAGCCGCAGTCAGAGCATGCTAGCGGAGCTGCGTGACCTGCTGCAGAGTGCCTTTCAGCTGCGGGAGATTAGCCCTGTGGAGAAATATCTGGGGTTGCAGCTGATTCGGGACAGGCCCACGAGGAGGCTGTGGCTGCACCAGGGGGCCTATGTGGACAAGGTCCATAGGCGCTTCTTTGACGGGGAGCAGCCGCTGCGAGTGCCTCGCACCCCTCTTTCTTCTGACCCTTTCAGTGTGCAGACCTTCGAGGATGTGGGATGGCAGTCTCGCCAGGAGGAGGAGTACAGGCAGAAGGTGGGATCCTTGCAGTTCGCGGCCTGTACCACCCGTCCCGACATCTCGTTCGCCTGCAGCAAGCTGGGGTCGGGCCAGACTGTGCGGAGTGATCAGCACTGGAAGGAGTTGGACCGGTGCTTGACGTACTTGGTGGGGAGCAGGGATGTGGCGCTGGAGTTTGGTGGTGGGCCGGAGTCCTTGGAGCTGGTGGGCTACGCCGATGCTGATGATGCAGGGGACAAGCAGAACAGGACCAGCACAGGTGGCTATGTCTTCGTGCTCGGGGGTGCTGCTGTCTCATGGGCGAGCCAGCGGATTCGTTGCGCCACCCTTTCCTCCACTGAGTCTGAGTACGTTGCTGCTGTGGAGGCTGGGAAGGAGGCGCGCAGGCTGCGCTTCCTACTGGCAGAGTTTCAACTGCTGAGGAGTGAGGAGCCCACGACTCTCTTTGTGGACAACTCCTCCGCCATTTCAGTGGCAGGTGGCATGGGGCTCAAGGGGAGCCTCAAGCACATGGAGCGTCGTCACATGTGGCTGCAGCACATGGTCAAGCGCATGAAGCTGCAGCTGCAGTACATCCCTACAAGCGAGCAGCCTGCTGACTACCTCACAAAGGCATTGCATTTCCCCGCCTTCAATCGTTGCTTCGAGGCTGTGGGGCAGGTGCGGCTCTCGAGTGAGGGGAGTGAAAACCTAGACACTCCATGATGTGGATGGTGCCATGGCCTATCCATGGCTGGTGCGGTGCGTGTTTACACTTTGAGCGTGTTTCGTTTGTGTGTATCCCTTTGTTTTGGTGTGTATGTGTGTATGCATGCCCTGTGATTATAAAGGGCCTTGCTGTAGTATGGCAGGGGAGTGTTAGAGGGCCCTACGACAGCAAGGGCCCTCGATGACCTTTGACTTGGCAGGTCGGCGCCTAACGACTGAGTCTACTCGGCACCGACGCACGAGTTCGGTGGCGGTCATTAGTGACTACGGGTGACTGTGAGCTACTGCAGCGAACTCGGCGGAATCGGTGCTAGGAATGACGAGTCTTAGGGGTCGTAGGTGCCTTGCTTGTGAGGCACGCTGCTCACTTGTTGTGTTGGCAGGAGTAGCGTGCACGGTGAGACATTCCGGTGCCGAGTTGGGTTGGAAATGTGCGGGGCGCGTTCACCCACCTGCACAGCACTTTCGTGTGGGTTGGGTTACTCGCAGCGCCACGCAACAATTGTGCAACTCTTGCTTGCCTATATATGTTTGTGTTTGCTTGTGTGTTTGATAATTGATATTGCAATTCTACTTGGCCCAAATGCTACTTCAATTCTCACAAAGTCCTTAGAGGCAAACGCTACCAAAACTCTACCAAGTTGCTGGCGCAACATCATTCCCATAGCAGAGACTCTCTCGCTATCGCTACGCTCTCTAATATATTCCTTCAGCGCGCGCCAGCGTGGTCAGCGGGAGGGGCAGCCGCGCGCTGCCGGGAAGCAGCGCGCCCGGGCCGTTCAGCGCAACGGGGAAAGCGCAGCGAGCAGCGGAAGCGCGTGGTGTGCACGCGCGGAGATTCTCTGACGAATTCCCCATCCGCAGCGTCCCGGAGGACGCGGAGGTTATGGGCGACGTGGGGTGCGCGGACGACGCGGACGGGGCATGCGCGGAAGCCCCCCGGCGCAGGGCCTCGTGCTCCATGGACTTAGGGGCGGAGTGCGCGGGGGAAGACGCTTGCTTCAGAAGCGTCAGCACGAGCAGCAACGCCAGCACGAGCAGCAGCGCCAGCACGAGCAGCAGCGTCAGCGCGAGCAGCAGCGTCAGCGCGAGCAGCAGCGCCAGCGCCGGCAGCACCAGAAGGGTGGCAACGACGAGCGCAAGTAAAGAGCATGGCCCGTCACCACTCCCGTCACCACTCCCGTCGCCTCGCATGGACTCAAACCCCTGTCAGAACGAGCGCCATTGGCCGAGTAGTGATGGCGCCATGGCTGCTCTGCCCTGCTCCCTCTCCAGTGGAGCACTCGTGTCGCCACGAATCACGCGCCAGCAGCAGCAGCCGCAGCAGCAGCAGCAGCAGCAGCAGCAGCAGCAGCAGCAGCAGCAGCAGCAGCAGCAGCAGCAGCAGCAGCAGCAGCAACAGCAGCAGCAGAAAAGGCGGCAGCAGCAGCTCCTGTCTGCAGGTTTCAAGGGAATACGAACTGGGGAGGGGATGGTGCAGTGTAGCCCAGTGGGGAAGGTGATAGGTGAGATAGAGGAGCAGCGGAGAGAGGGGGAGGATCGTTCAGGGCTGGAGGGGACGCATGGAGAGTATGTGCGGCTGTGGTGGCGGCGGCAAAAGCAGCAGCAGCCGTTGTCGCCGCTGCAGCAACAGCAGCAGGGTGAAAGCATGGTTGATTCGCCACCCCCCCAGCAACGGCAGCAGGTGCAGCAGCAGAGGAGGGGGATTCAGGGCATGGAGCCGAACCTCAGGCGGAGGCGAAACTTGTCAAATGAGGAACTACAGGCGCAGGTCGAGGCGTTACAGCAGCAGCTGAATCAGGTACAAACGGAGCACCTGCTCCAGCAGGAACGGGTGAAGCAGCATGGGGCGGTGCAGGCGAAGGAATCGCACAGAATGGAGGTGGTGGTGGTTCAGGAGGAACAAGGGCCGAGGCAGGAAGAGGCATTGCAGGATGAGCAGGAGGCGAGGGTAAAGCCAAGAGGGACAGGTCAGGAGGGGCTCTGTTTGAAGGAGCAGCCGTGTCGGGATGTAGGTAAAGTTAAACCACAGCAGCAGCCGCAGCAGCAGCCAAAGCAGCAGCAGCAGCAACAGCAACAGCAGGTGCCGATATCACACAAACATGGTGGCGAGACAGGAACCAAAGCGCGGTATGAAGAACAAATGTGGCGGACAACTAGTTTAGATATGGCTGGCCTTCTAAAATTTTCCAAAGACAGCCAACCATGGAGCACGGAGCTATCTCCACCCAACATTTTTCCAGAGAGGTTGACCGAATCCTCTTCTCCCATTAGTTACACACCTAAGCAAAAGAAGCCAACACATAGGAGGAGGGTGAGCTTCAGCTCCAACATCGACTTCATATCCTCAGATTTGTTTACATAAATCCAAATCTTGATGTTGCCTCCCTCCCTGACTTTCAGGCGTTTTGCATGTGATCAGGAAGCTAATCATAAACTAACAATGAACCAAAATATACTGGTTTGAATTTGTCAGCCTTCGTAATCACATTTGCCGAAGCTCAAAGCACCCCAAACTCATTCGCCAAGCTCACTTACCGAACCAGCCCCCAAGCCGAGCCTGATGTACCTAGAAAGTGCCGTCAAGATTTCCCAACCAACCAGCTCGTTCCGTCTGATGTATCGACGGGCAGTGCGAGACCAATCGGGCAGTGTGGTGAACGTGTACGGACGAACGGGTGGGCGGGGGCTGGGGGTGCGAGACGATTCTCGTCTCGTCGTCCCGAATGGTACAGTGTCGTCGGTCAGTTTACTGCTGTAAACCAGTCTGTTCGTCCGTCAGGAAGTCAGTTACCGTCAGAACCTTATCTACTCGGGGAATGGTTGGGTTTGGTGAACTGTGGAACTGAACTGGCCAAGGGAATAGCTTGCCACGTCATCGTTCACCTGCCATGCCCCCCATGAGCCCTGGGGTTGCCGAACTGAACTGCTACCTCCGCTGCTGAACCGCGAATTATTTCGTAGAAGTGGTGGAATGAAGTGAAGAACTGCGATCGCTGGAAGCTACTATAGATTTCTCATATTTAATCCCTAACTGCGATGGACTAAAAGCTACTGATTATTTATCTGTTCACTCGCTAGTATTTAGCGTTAGTCGCCATGAATCCTGTTAGAGCAGCACATCATGGCTCCCCAAGTCCGTCTTGCCGGAAACCGGCCGTCGCAAATGGCTCTCCCGTAGTTGCTACTTCAGCATCCCCGTACCGCCGACCGGCAAACCTCTCTCAAACCGACCAGCATCCTATTCTTGACGACGATGCTCCAGTAGCCACTCCAATCTCCTCCTCGAATAACCGTTTCTCCACAGCATCGGCGGAAGAGGAGCTTTATCCTGATACCCCGTCCGGCAATAGCCAGGCTCGGCGGGGTCAACGAGTCGCAGCTCCTAGAGACGGCACCGCGGGTGGCATGGCTCCGAAACCAGCTTCGAGGCGCGATGGACACGTCGCCACCGAGGATTGCGGCGGAGCACGCGGGAGGGGTCGAGGTCGAGGCGGCGCGATGCACGCCGAGCCCCGTGCCGTGGGACCTGGAGGTAGGCACGGTGCCAGACCTACGCAGCAGGCTCGGGGAATGGGGGAGGAAATCGGCGCTCACAGTCATGGTCATAATACTTCTCATAATACTACTGGTGCTGCTGCTACAAGCACTAATCACTCCAGGCCACATACTCACGCTCCGCATTCTAAGGCGCATCCGAATACACGCAGCATTAACTCTCATTCTAAGGACGGGGGGGCGATGGGTGCCAGCTCGGGTGGTCCCAAGAAGCCACTGACCGTGCAAACCGGTGTTGGGTTGGCGGAACCTGCTTCCGACTTTGACCTCCCCTCCCCCACTCCGCTCGCTGCTCCGCTCGGCGCGCCAGTTTCCGCGCCTACGGCGTCCACGCTAGAAGCAGGAGGCGGGTCTGCGGAGATTCCGCCGCATGACCCCGGCTCGCCTACTCCGCTAGCAGCGCCTCTTGCGGCTCCGCGGAGTTCATCTGGAGGTGCTTCCGCGGGTGCGCCCGCGCAGGCGGTCGATCCTGGATCCCCGACTCCGCTTGCTGCGCCGGTTGCGCGCACGCCAACTCCAATTTCCACAGCGGCGGTAACCGAAGCTTCTCCGCATGACCCGGGATCCCCCACTCCACTCGCTGCGCCGGTTGCAGGCGGCGGCGGCGGCGGCGGAGTGGATGCGCCCCCGCACGACCCGGGCTCCCCCACTCCGCTGGCTGCTCCGTTGGGGGGGAAATCCGTGGCAGGCGGAGGCGGGGGGGGGAGCGGCGGATCTCCACCGAAGGCAGGTCACGGTGCAGGGGAGGAAGGCGGGGAGGACGCGGAAAGTAGTGATTCGGACGAAGAGTTTCTTTCACAGTACAAGCAGCTAACCAAGTCCAAGTCACGAGGGCGAAACGAGGGGGCATTGCTAGTGGGAGGTAGCGCGAATAGCGGCAGTGGAAGCGGAGCAAGCGGGGGAGGTTGCGGGGTGGGATCGGGAGCAGGGGGGAGTGGCACAGGCGGAAGTGGGGGGGAAGCGAAGCCTGGACCAGGGGGGATAGGGGGAAGAAGCAGGGGCGGGCCTCCCCCTGTCCCTACCGCGCATGGTAACAAAAGCGGGGGTGGCGGGGGGGCAGCATTGGGCGCAGGAGGGGTAGGGGGCCACTCAGCGAAAGGGGGGATGTCAGCTGCAGCAGCAGCGGCTGTAGCGGCTGTAGCAAGCAAGCACGGCGGGCACAGCAGCCCAGTAGCAGCGGTGGGGAAAGCAGCGATGCTGATAGAAGAAGCTGTGAAGCCGCCATTACTGAGGAGCAGATCGGGAGACACGGCCCGAGCCCACCCCGCTGCTGCCGTCGCTGGCGCTGGTGGTGGCGCTTGTGCCTCCACTCTCTCTGGGTTGGGACTGGGGACTGGTGGAGGTCCGGGTGTTGGAGGCTCGGGTGGTGGATTGGGTGGAGGCTTGGGGGGCATGGGTTGCCACTCTCTCTCCAGTCGGCAAGCAGAGATGCTTCACAACGCTCTAAGAGCGCCTTCTAGGTGCCACTCGGATAAGGGCATGCACGGGTTGGGAGGGGGGAGGGACGCGAGCGGGGGCAGCCCCCCGCTGCCTGTGGGGAAACGGGGACTGGAGGAGGGGAGGAGAGGGGGGAGCTGCAAGGAGGGGGCCGCGGTAGGGGGAGGAGAGGGCATGGGGGTTGATGCGGATTTGTTTGGATCAACGGGGGGGAAGGGCGGGGCTGTGGACGAGGATTTGTTTGGGGCGGATAATGGTGATTCTGATGATGATGATGATGACGATGATGACGCTGCTGTTGCTGCTGCTGCTCCTGCTGGTGCTGGTGTTGGTAGTGGTGGGGTTAGTGTTGCTGCAGCAGGTGGCGCAGCAGTGGATGAAGATTTATTTGGCCCCTCCGAGAATGTTTCTAGTGCTCATATGGAACCCCCCAAGCGGCTTGGTAGAACCTTCAGTGGTTGTGGCTCTTCTGCTGCCGCTGCTGCTGCTGGTGCTGGTGCAGGTGCTGGTGGTAGTGGTGTTTCTCCTGGTGGTGTGGCAATAGCAGCGGTGGCACACCTAAAAGCACAAGAGCACAAGTTATCCAGAACAAGAAGCGTGGAGAGTTATTCAAGACAATCAGGCGGAGGAGGGGGGGCGACAGGGAGGGGGGGTGTGGGGCATAGCAGATTCGACGGTGGAGGGGCAGCAGGAGGGGTAGCAAAGGCAGGCGTGGTTGGGGGTCAGAAGCCTGTTTCATCAGCAGCAGCGGCGGTTCCTGTGGCAATAGCAGCAGGAGCTTCAACGGTGACAGCGCTAGTGGTAGAAGATGGTGATTCTGATGATGATGATGATGAGGAGGAGGACGATGAGGGGGTAGGGGTGGGGGCTGGAGTGGGGATACAGGAAGAAGATTTGTTTGGTGCACGCGAAGGGAGAAATCAGTTGGTGGACGGTTCAGGAGCTGGTGTGAGGAGTGATAAAGGAAGAGGGGTGGTGGGTATGGGAAGGGGAAGGGACGAGGTTGCGGAAGAGAGCGCCATGTCAGATGATGACGATGACGATTTGCAGGAGATTTTGCAGGCTATGCATAGGAGGGCCTCTTGAGTGGATCCAATAGATAAAGCCGTGAGCTACTATATATACCTTATCTGTTGTTCACCCAGGTCCTCACAATTCATTCAACCAGTTTGTTTTTCATTCAAAAGTGTATGGAATTCTGCAGTGCTGATTTCCATGACTGTAGCGAATCAATTTACCTCACGTCCTTGCATCACCTCTTGCGTGGGGCTTTGCGCCAAAACCGCCCAGCCCGTCATTGTGCGACACCTCTCCGTGCGACTCACCCCGTGCTGCGACACCTCTCTGTCAGTCTGCGACGCCTTGTGCTCTCATCGTCCCCAACCAACTCACAGAAATGCTCTGTCGCACGTACCCCCTCGTGAGTTGACCAGCTTGGTTTTGTCGCACACAGCCCCAGCCGCAAGCTATTTCTGAAGCGCGAACAGCGGTGACGTTTTTTCAGCTCCGCTTGATATTGTGTTCCTCTTTTTTCTCACCAGACGTTTCTGGTTTGACGGCTAGATTCATCGAATGGAAGGAAGTTCACTGCACGCTGTTGTGACAGTAACGAGTCAAGTCTGACAACACAACCCTGATCAACCCGCCGCCACCGCCGGAGCGAGCCCGTAGTAGTCACAGTCACGCCGATCTAGTCCGGGCAAGTCTCAGAACCGGCAGTCACCCCACGCGCTCTCCCTTAATGACTTACGAGGCCATACTCCCGTCCCGCGTCGCCGCGCATCATCAATCCTCCGCGCGCGTATCGCTGCAGCCGCACCACACGTCGGGCGGAAGGAACCGCGCGCAGGCGCAAACATGCCGCGCGGACGGGCACGCAGAGATGGTTTCGTGCGGAGAGAATAGCGTTGACGGCGCGTGGAACAATAGGCGACGCGTGGTCGTGGCTTCTAGAAACCCCGTGAAGATTAACGCCGCGGGGGAGGCGCTCCGGCGGTTGTTCCCCCACGAGTCGTTCGAATTAGAAGGCTTCCCGGCCGACTCGGGCGTGTCGGACCAGCCGATGGGCGACGCGGAGACTCTCGCGGGCGCGCGGAACCGTCTGCTGCACGTGGCGCGCAGCAGCGCGGCGGAAGGCGCGGATTTCGTGGTTGCGATCGAGGGGGGAGTGGAGTGGTGCCGGTTCTCCGATCCCCCCCAGCTCATGTGCTTCGCATGGGCTGTCGTACTCTCCACGTCCGCGCGCGCGGACGACGAGGCGGAAGCGGACGGCGCGGTGGTGGGCGGAAGCGGGGAGGGTGGGGGCGCGGCTCCCGGGGCGGGGAACGGGAGACAGCAGCAGGGGAGGGGAGTGGGGGAGGCGACAGGGGGCGGGGCCGGGGATGGGGGAGCGGGGAGGAGAGGAGGAGCGGCGCTTGGAGGAGTGAATGGGGGGAGAGGGGGCGGGGGAGGCTTAGGGGGAGGCGGAGGGAACGCGATTTCGGGGGAGACGAGAGCGCGGACGGCCGCGTTCATGCTTCCGCCACCACTGGCGGAACTGGTGCAAGGTGCGGGGGGGGAGGGGTGTGGGGAGGGGGGAGGGGTGGGAGAAGAACGGGGGGGAGGAGGGGACGTGGGGGCAGGGGAAGGGAAAAGAGTGACTGGGATGGTGGGGTGAGGAGGGGAAGAAGGTGGGAAGGGAGAGGATGGGGTTAAAAGGTTTAGAGGAAGGGGGGGATATGGAAAGTATGGTAGGAGTGGGAGGGTGGGGGGAAAGTATGGAAGGGGGATTGCATGGTGGGGAAGTGTGCCACATGGAAAGGGTGTGTGCCATGTGGGAAGGGCGTGTGCCATGTGGGAAGGGCGTGTGCCATGTGGGAAGGGTGTGTGCCATGTGGGAAGGGCGTGTGCCATGTGGGAAGGGCGTGTGCCATGTGGGAAGGGCGTGTGCCATGTGGGAAGGGTGTGTGCCATGTGGGAAGGGCGTGTGCCATGTGGGAAGGGCGTGTGCCATGTGGGAAGGGTGTGTGCCATGTGGGAAGGGCGTGTGCCATGTGGGAAGGGCGTGTGCCATGTGGGAAGGGCGTGTGCCATCTGGGAAGGGCGTGTGCCATGTGGGAAGGGCGTGTGCTATGTGGGAAGGGCGTGTGCCATGTGGGAAGGGCGTGTGCCATGTGGGAAGGGCGTGTGCCACGTGGGAAGGGTGTGTGCCACGTGGAAAGGGTCTGTGCTATTGTGTTGACATCAGGGCTATGGTGCAGATTTGATGAGTTTTGGGAAATTCTTTACAAGCATTAACTCTCCTGTGAAACCATACCTGCTCCCCTGCATCATGTTTCAGGGGGCATGGAGCTGGGGGAAGCAACAGACGAGGTGTTTTGTCAAGAGGGCAGCAAATCCCGAGGCGGCACAGTGGGATATCTGACCAATGGGGAGATTACACGTCAGACGTACTACGAGCATGCTATCACCCTAGCACTCATCCCATTCGTCCACCCGTCGCTGTATAAAAGCCCGTCGCACCCGGTGCTGCCGCCAAATTACATGCAATGACAGGGTAGGAGATTAGGAGATTAGGGTTAGGGCACGGGCTCGCAAACAATTTTGATGTTACCATGATTTGAAGCTTCTGAAATTGTCATGAATCGGAAGGGAGGTGACAGCTATTGGTTTTTGTCTGACATTTTGACTTGAAAACCTTCCTGCTTACCGTACTACCTCTAGGTCGTAGCAAGACCTGGTGAATGAGACTTCTTGATAGCGAATCTGCAAAATTGCAGGAGTTGCACAAGCTCACTGCACTGCTTGAAATAACCATGACCAGAAATTTCTCCCTTAAATTTCTACTTCGTTGCCCTACCAAGCCAAACCCCCTGACTGAAGATTTATGGTTTTGTTTCGTGTACTTTATCAACCACGAATGCTCTCGAAGTCGCATTTCCGTCAAAATCTTAGAGTTAAAACAACTGAACCGAAACTCTGTTAAATAGTATAATGAAGTCTACATACATTTCATGTTCAGGAAATTCTAGATCTACAGTAAAGTCTTCAATCTTGGACCTTGGAACTTCAATCTTGGTTTGAACCCCTCTTGGCCGCTAGAGGACAAGCCTCTAGCGTTCACCCTAACACCACGATGAGGTGGAGGTCCTTCGTTAGGGAAACCTGCAAGGGAGGGGAGGGATGCTTGGGAAGAAAAAGCAGTAAAACAAAGAGGAGGGACGGTTAGGATTAAAGTGAATGCCAGTGGGGAGGGAACACCTCTGAGCTTGAAGTAGCTGCTCTGTTGTCAGGTTGTCAGGTTGCCGCGGTGAGCCACAGAAAGTGGAGGGAGGAAAGAGGAGGAGGAAACCCAGCCGACCCCGTCGCGTCGCGTCCCCATCGCCTAACCACCCAGCCCACACCGCCCTCGTCTGTCCAGTCTGTGGCTGATCTAAAACGCTCCTACGGTCTGATCTAACGCTCCTAAACGGCCCACCGGTTACCATGTGCTGCTGTTGCAGTTGTTGCTCCACCTCCTGAGAAAGGGAAGGAGTGGAAGGGGGGAGTCAAGCTCCTCGCTGCTCCTCGATCCTCGCTGCTCCTTGCTTCTCATTGTTGGTCCTCGTTCTATCCTCGCGTTGCGCTGCTCCTTAGCTCCCGACTTCCTGCACCACAGAGAACGACTTAAAAAGACGTTAGTACTTTAGAAAAACAAAATGAAACGAACAATCTGAACGATAACTAAGCTGGAAAAAAAAACTAAAAGAACCGATGACGAAGAAGAGAAATAAAACCGTGCGCCGTGCGTCATGCGATGGGAGAAGCGCCGTCCGACGGCAGAGATTCCGCCACCATGCGCCACGCGAGAAGGACCACCATTCCGTCGCGAAGATCGCGCCGTGAAGTTGTGCTCCTCGCTCCACCCGCTTCGCACACCACCAGCGCTGTTAAGACCAAGTCAAGGGAATGATGAGATTAGGTCAAGATTGGGGTACAAGACTAGAGTGTCGAGAAAGTTTCTGTACCCCCTAGTGCTAACCCCCATACAGCCTAGATAACCTAAACATGCATATATAGTTTGACACACCCCCATAGGCGAAATGGGGGATAGCCAGAGCAAGCAACGGTCACAAGACCAGTCAAGAGAAGAAACAAAACTCAGCTCAGGGTGGATCACAACGTCACCACGTAGTATGAGCACAAGCAAAAGGCCACAAAGCCAGTTCACATGCAGATATATATACGTAACAACAACAGCACAGTGATCTCTACCTACCAGAGCAAGCATGCAGGTATATATATAGATCACAGTAAAAACAAAGCCTACAGCAAGTGAGGAAACGTGGGCACAAGGCCTAACAAAGTACAGAAACGCTGATGATCACCAAGCGGAAGTGCCTTGGTGAATATATCAGCAGTGTTGGCCCGAGTGGCCACGTAAGCAAGACGAAGCTGACCACGCTGCTGTAGCTCTCGAGCAAGGAAGTAACGCAGAGCGATGTGCTTCGTTCTGTGCTCCAGTCTGTGCTCCTGACACAAGGCAATGGCGGCCTTGTTGTCGACGTACAGCACTGGAGGAGAACGAGGCCTCTCTCCCAAGTCGGTCAGTAGGTAGGTGAGCCAGCGTAACTCCTGTGCAGCCATGGCTGTGGCGTAGATCTCAGCCTCACAACTGGAGCTGAGAACTGAAGACGAGCGTGTAGAACGCCAAGAAACCGAACCAGAGCCAAGGCTGAAGGTGTAACCCTGTGACGACCGCTGCGTAGCTTGGTCGTCAACCCAAGAAGCGTCTGAGTGCCCAGTGAGGATAACGTCGCTCCGTCCTCGAGGCACGAGCCCCATGCCCGATGTACTGCACAAGTAGCGTAGTACCCTCTTAGCAGCATCCATGTGCACCTTTCGGTGCCGACCAGGAGCCACGTAGCGAGCCAGAAGGCCAAGAGGGTACGCAAGGTCAGGACGAGTGCAGGTCATCAGGTACATGAGGCAGCCCACTAGCTCTGGGTAAGGACCACTCGGCTCTACGGACTCGTCCGAAGGTGGAGCTGAGAGCAAGTGACCTTTAGCCAGAGGAGTGGGCTGTGCCGAGGACCAGGTGAAGCCGAAGCGCTGAAGGACCTGCTGCACCATGTGAGACTGAGTCAGTGTGATGGTGTGGCGTGCTCTGTCCCGGGTGATCCGCAAGCCAAGATAGCTTGTCAGCTCACCCAGGTCTGTGGACGTGTGTCTCTTCTGCAGCTCCGACTTCACCAGGGCGAGAGCCTCAGTGTCAGCAATGGCAAAGACCAAGTCGTCGACGTACACTAGGATGTAGAACGGCGGCAGTGAAGTGTCGGTGCGCAGAAACAGAGACGGGTCAGTAGTCGACGGAGAAAACCCAAGAGCCGCAAGTGTCGTCCTCAGTGTGTCGTGCCACTCACGCGGCGCCTGGCGGAGACCGTAGACCGGCCGCCGGAGGCTCCACTGGGTACCAGGAGGGAACGACCCAGTGAAGCCAGGTGGGCGGCGCAGCCAGATCTCCTCGTGCAGGCTTCCCTGTAAGAAAGCTGTGCTGAAGTCAAGAGAGTGAAGCTCGTAGTCACGCTGGGCGGCAACATGCAGCAGCACCCGAAGAGTGGTCATCTTCGGGGTGGGGGAGAAGGTCTGGAAGAAGTCAACCCCCTCTCGCTGACTGAAACCTCGAGCAACGTAACGAGCCTTGAAGACAGGCGGAGAACCTGGCGGCCGCTTCACCCTGAAAATCCACATGCCACTGACGATGTTCGCCCCAGGAGGGGGAACCTCGTCGACGTAGGTGCCTGTGGACTTCCAGGATGCCATCTCTGCATCCATAGCTGTCTTCCACTGAGAGGAGTACTCACCCGCGATTGCCTCAACGTAAGAGCGCGGGGTCGGGATGTCTGGTGCATCCGGGTCTCCCTCAGGGGCAAGCAGCATGGACACAAGATGAGGCGCAGCGGCTGCAAAACACTCAAGGTCCTCCTGCCTGTCCTCAAGGACGTCCGTGCCAAGAGCACACTCACCCCCGACGGACGGAGGACAGACAGACTCAGACTCAGCAACAAGACTAGCAGCGTAGTCTAGACGGCAGGCAGCAGCAAAGTCAACAAGCTCAGCGACTAAGGCAGACGCAGCAGCAGACTCAAACGACGGGTCAGTGACAACAGTGGCTAGCAGACGCGTGACAGTAGGGTGCTCAGCACGAAACCGGTCAGACTCAGGGTCCGGAACAACAGGCAGAGAAGACTCCGGAGCGGACGGCAGAGGAACACGCTGCGGAGGAGAGGAAGGACGACGGACGACAAGGGAAGGACCGGGGACAGCCGGCGGACGCTGACGAGGAACACGACGACTGGACCGACCAGAACGGACAGGTGAGACAGGACGCGACGCAGGCTCACGACGCTCAGTAAAGCCCCCTGTCTGCTCAGTGTAAGGAGAAGGAGCAGGCAGAGGTGAGTCAGGCTGTAACGGAAGACCAGTAGACGACGGGAGGCTAAGAACCTGGCGAAGTACGGAGTCAGGCGGTGGCAGAGACGACGGAGACGGTGGAGCAAAGAACAGGCGCGGCTGTGCAGTGCCACCAGCACCAGCAGCTCCAGCACCCTAAGCAGCTCCAGCACCTCCAGCAGCTCCAGCGCCTCCAGCAGCTCCAGTACCCTCAGCAGCTCCAGCACCTCCAGCAGCTCCAGCACCCTCAGCAGCTCCAGCACCCTCAGCAGCTCCAGCACCTCCAGCAGCTCCAGCACCCTCAGCAGCTCCAGCACCTCCTGCAGCTCCAGTACCCTCAGCAGCTCCAGCACCCTCAGCAACTCCAGCACCTCCAGCAGCTCCAGTACCCTCAGCAGCACCCCCAGAACCGGCACCTCCAGTCCCAGGGTCTCCAGCCTCCGTGTCTCCAGCAACAGCACCCCCAGACCCAGGGTCTCCAGCAGTAGCACCCTGAGGCTCAGCAGTACCTCCAGCCCCAGCAGCTCCAGCACCTCCAGTGCGAGCACCTCCGGGACCAGCACCACTCCCAGCTCTGCAGAAGTACCTCCAGCGGCAGAGCCCCGAGCTCCAGAAGCACGACCCTGACGGCGACCGTACCAGTCGTGCAGCTGCTGTGAGGTGAGAGGCACACGCGTACGAAGGCGGCTACTCCAAGGAGACTGCGCAGGAGCAGACTCAGAACCCTCAGGCGTCGCACCCCCAGACTCAGCACCCCCAGACTCAGGACCTCCAGGCTCCTCACGCTCAGGCTCAGCACCCCGAGACTCC